AAACTTCAGCCAATTTGATATATGTGAATTTAATTATTTTCTTTAATATTGAACTATTTTGATGTGAAGATTTATGTAAATTAATTTCATTATAGTACTTTCTCAACCTAAAGTTATGTAAATTAATTTTACTTAGTATTTTCTCAGCAAATGGGGGTCAGAACCTGTTCATGTTGTTTCTTTCAGTAAAGACCCCTCCTGTGTACCCAGCACAGTGGATATAGGTGCTCCCGAGCTGGTTATGACAAGTTCTGGTAGAGGAGCCTGTATAAAAAGTAGGAGGGGTGGTTGTGTAGAGCTGGGGTGATCCTCAGCATGGGAGGAATCCTTCACATGGCAGGCCTCCTGGCAGTGGCAGATGTGGGGGCTGCCAAACTGAGACTTGATTCTTTATAGGTATTTGAAGCAGAAAAATGCTATGGTTAGATTTTTTTTTTTTAAACAGTCTCACTCTGTCACCCAGGCTAGACGTGATCCAGTTCACTGCAGCCTCAACCTCCCAGGCTCACGCCATCCTCTTACTTCAGCCCCACAAGTAGCTGGAACCACAGGCACACACTTCCACACCTGGCTAAGTTTTGTTATCTTTTGTAGATAGAAGGTTTTTCCTTGTTGCTCAAACTCCTGAGCTCAATTGATCTGTCCACCTCAGCCTCCCAAAGAGCTAGGATTACAGGTGTGAGTCACCATGCCTGGGCTATGGTTAGCTTTTATAAACATCATAGTTACGTTTTATCAATAGCACGCAATCGTGACTTCAGTGAACCTTCCTATTGCTGTGCTGTCTGTACCTTCCAATAGGCACAGGAACTCAGTTCAGATTGTGTGGGCCTAAAACAGGAGTAAAGTTCCAAGATATCTTGGTGAAGATGAGCCAGACTACCTGGCCACCTGATTTCTATGTGTATATAAATGTGAACAAACTTAAAGATGAAAAGTTTAAGTTACTTTATAAACTAAAAGTTATTATTTTTACAAGCCATTGTATTTAAACTTCCTGTGGAAACTGCTGTGGACTCCTTATTAACACTGAAACCTGGAGACTCTTGTACCTGCTCCCCTTGCAGGGACATTGTGACAGTAGATGATGGTAAAATACCGTTGAGCTGTCTAAATTCAAGGCACTGGTTCCTGCAGTGTTGAGAAAAGCTGAGATGATTTAATTCTGAGGTAGTTATAAAAAATAGTACTTTTATTGACAGAATTACACACTGTCTGACACTGTGTGTCTCTTAACCCTCGTGTAAACCCTTCCCAGTACTGCCATTTCTTTGGTCTTTTTTTTTTTCTATTTTGACCACAGTTCTAAGGTTTTCTTCAAAAGTTCTCAAGATTCCATTCTTTCCTGTTTTCCGACTCCTTTTCCTGTGCTTTCCCTGGGTAGTTTCATCCGTTCTCATGGTTTAAACTGCCACTCACAGGACTCAAAAATCTAGTCCAGATCTGTTTTCCAGCTTCAGACTTCAGCAGTGAGACCAGCACCCCTATCAACACATCCAGCTCTGAACTTAGTGAGCCTCTTCCATAATCTGGTCCTAGCCTATGTCTCTGGTCTCATCTCGTGGTGGACTCCCTGTCTTGAACTTTGTGCTGTCATGAGAATGCCTCTTGGTTGAGCATTTATTGTGTGACGCAAGCACTGTGCACAGTATTTGCATTGTCTTATATAATTTTCATTACATCCCTTTGGAGTGGCTATTGTTATCTATTTTATTGATGAAATTCTGAGAAGTAGTATGTCATGTAGCTTGGAAACAGCAAATCTGGCACTTGAACTCAGGTCTTTAATACGAAGTTTGTGGCTATATTTCAGAGTACCCACAATGCCTCTTACGTTACTTATTGCTAGTATAGCGTACTGTAAATCTGATAATGCCACAGAGTCCTTTGTATCTAGCCTTTCTAGTCTGGTATGTAATCAAAGACTTAGGGATGACTATAATATTAGGAGTGAGGTGATCACTGTCAACTTCTGGAAAGGTTACATCATTAATTATTTGATAATACAATTTGAGTATCTCTTTTTTTATATTTTTGAGATGAAGTCTTGCTCTGTCGCCCAGGCTGGAGTGCAATGGCACGATCTTACCCAGGTTCAAGTGATTGTCCTGTCTCAGCCTCCCTAGTATCTGGGATTACAGGTGTGCATCACCATGCCTGGCTAATTTTTTTGTATTTTTAGTAGAGTTGGGGTTTCACCATGTTTGCCAGGGTGGTGGTCTCAAACTCTTGACCTTAAGTGATCCACCTGCCTCATCCTCCCAAAGTGCTGGGATTACAGGCGTGAGCCACTGTGCCCAACCCAGTTGAGTATCTCTTAGCTAAAATGCTTGGGACTAAAAATTTGTCAGATTTTTAAATTTTTTTTGGACTTTGGAATATTTGCATATATACAAAACAGAGTATCTTGGGAATGGCCTCCAAGCCTAAACACAAATTTCATTTATGTTATGTATACAATAGCCTGAAGGTAATTTTATAAAATGTTTTAAATAATTTTGTGCATATAACAAGTTTGATTCCAACTTGTCACATGAGGTTGGGGTGGAATTTTCCACTGTTGCATCATACTGGTGCATAAAAAGTTTAGGATTTTGGAGCATTTCAGATTCCAGATTTTTGGACTAAGAATGCTCATTTACTGGTTCCTTAAGTAGAAGTATGTCAGGTTCCCTTTAGATTCAGTGCATAGTTGTATTGAGTTGCGACCGTGTTCTTCTTTTGTTTAAGGCTGCTGTACTGAGATGTGCTCTTCACCCCTTGTTTATCAACTCGTAACGTGATCATCAGTATCTTCTTGTGCTGTGTTCTCAGTCTGGAATCCCTTCATCTTCCTTCCGTTTTCACCTTTCCCTTGCTTGGCTAATTTCTCACTTTAAGAACTTAGTTTAGGCATTGCCTTGTTTAAGAAGCTTCTTTGACTTCTGCCCTAACTTGGGGCTGGATAAAGTCCCCTTGTTCTGCATTCCTTTATCATCGTACATATGAACTGTCATAGTGTCAGAATGTATTTGTATTTCTGTTCTAGCCACTCTCACTAGAGGCTGAGCACTTCAGGACAGAAATGATGTCGGAGGCGTTTTTGTGTCCACAATGCTTAATGTGCTTTAATTGAATTATCCTCTCACCAAATTATTAAATGATTGCTTTTATTGCTAGTATCAACTTTTCTAGACACTGTAAACCTAAGAGCACTGCATATTATTTTTTCAATTTGAAGGGCTAATGTATTTGATCAAATAACCATTAGACTAAAAGATAGAGGCATTATTTGATCTTTCTGTTGTCATGTAGCACCACAGCCAAACTGTTCCCAATAACAATTTACCGTATTTTTTGTATGCATGTGTGCATGCATGCACGCATGCATGAATGAATGAATGAATGAATGAATGACAGAGTCTCATTTTGTTCCCCAGGCTTCAATGCAGTGGTGTAGTCATGGTTCACTGCAGCTTCGATGGCGCTCAAGTGGTCCTCCCACCTCAGCCTTCTGAGTAGCCAGGACTGCAGGCACACATCACCATTCCCGGCTAATTTTTTTTTTTAAAGTTGTTGTAGAGTCGGAGTCTCATTATGTTCCCCAAGCTGGTCTTGGGCTTGAGTGATCCTCCTGCTTCAGCCTCCCAGAGTACTGCTGGGATTACAGGTGTGAGCCACTGTGACCGTCCAGTTTATCATCTTTTAAAAAGCTATGGCTACGTGTATATTTTAACATAGGTTATTCCTTGAAGGGTTGCAAAGAAGTTTGAGTTTTAGGTGAATGTTAACCTTTTAATGGCATTCTATCCTGAGAGTATGAATTTAATGCATTGTTATTAGGCTTTATAGTAATTCACGCTGTGGTTTTTATTTGTACTGCTTATTATGTTTATTCATTAATGCTTTATTCCCCGAAACATTTAATTACAGCCTTTTTTTAAAGAATAGGACATATTGCAAGTCGTCACGGAGGGGTATTGGGAAAAGTTTTCAATTAGCAATAATCGCGCCTCGGATAAACCTCATTGGCTACGATACTGCCATGCACACTGCCATGTGTGTACCTACGCAACTGTCTTGCATGCTCTGCTCATGTACCCCAAAACCTAAAATCCAATAAAAAATTAAAAAAAAAAAAAAAGAATAGGACATAATGTTAAAAATTAACTAGTTGCAAAGGTAGTCAAAGTGAAAATAGAACTATTTTATGCCAGTTCCAACACTCTTGTAATTCTCTAAAGTGATTTTCTTCTTTGAAGTACGTTTTTGTTTGTTTGAGCCTAATAGCTTATAAAGAGAGACTCTTAAGGTAAGAGCTAACTCTCTTGGTGGCTTTAGGAACAATGTTTCAAAATGCACAGTAGATGATATGTATTTAGATGTTCGTTTTTTTAAAAAAACTGAAATCTTGACAATCATAGATACTCCATGTAATAGAGAACAAGGGGTTGTTTTTCATAAAAAGGTAGATCAGAGAATTTTTACTGTGACTCATAAGAGATATGAAAAAGTTTCGTGATGTTTCCAGGAACTGCCGACTCCACTGATGCTTCTTTGTTTATTAGTGGTACTGTCTTCTCTGGCTTCCAGAGTAGGCTCTGTGGGCTGCTCCCTACCCTTATGACTGCCACTGCTTCCCGTTATTTATAACAGTTATCACATGTTACTGGAATTATACCCCTCTAGTGCCTGTTTTCTTGCTAGGCTCTAAGGTTTAGGAGACCTGAGAATTGTGGATGTTTATTTGCTGCTATGTAATAGGTGCTTAATATTTATGGAATATATGATATAAACTAGTAGAAAACAGGGATTTATTCCCCAATAGTAATTGCTTTGGTTCATGGTAATGTTTAAAGCACTGTTGATCTTGAAATGCATTATACGTAAAGAACAATTGAATTAGCTGGAATATTATCATTACTTTAGTTCAATTCATTGTATCTCTAGTAACTTGAATTACCTAAAATATTTATTTCGTACTTTTATTTTGTTTTGTTTTATTTTATTTCTTGAGACAGCGTCTCACTCTGTTGCCCAGGTTGGAGTGCACGTGGTGCGGTTTCGTTTCACTGCAACCTCCGCCTCCCGGGTTCAAGCGATTCTTGCAGGTCAGTCTCCCAGGTAGTTGGGACTACAGGTGTGCACCACTATACCTGGCTAGTTTTTTGTTTTTTGTTTTTTTGTAGTGACAGGGTTTCGCCATGTTGTCCAGGCTGGTCTTCAGCTCCTGGGATCAAGTGATCTGCCCTCCTCAACTTCCCAAAGTGCTGAGATTACAGGCATGAACCACGAGGCCTGGCCTGGCCTGACTTGTTTTTTATTTTATTTTATTTTATTTTAGAGACACAGTCTTGCTCTGATGCCCAGGTTGGAGTGCAGGGGTGCGATCTTGGCTCACTTCAACTTCTCCCTCCTGGGTTGAAGTGATTCTCTAGCTTCAGCCTCCTGAGTAGCTGGGATTACAGGTGTGTGCTACCATGCCCAGCTAATTTTCGTATTTTTAGTAGAGATGGGGTTTTGTCATGTTGCTTAAGCTGGTTTTGAGCTCCTGAGCTCAAAGTGATCTGCCCACCTTAGCCCCCCAAAGTGCTGGTGTTATAGGTATGAGCCACCACGCCTGGCCTGTTTTATTTTTGAGACAGGGTCTTGCTCTGTTGCCCAGGCTTTAGTGCAGTGGCACAATCATGGCTCACTACAGCCTTTACATGCCAGATCAAGCAGTCCTTCTGCCCAGCCTCTGGAGTGGCTGGGACTACAAGGATCCGCCTCTGTGCTTTGCTAAGCTACTCATTTTAAATGCTACATTATCCATTTTCTCTGCATGGTCATTGACTATATTTTGTTTTGGAAGTTATTTTGTACTTAAATCTTGTTCTTTGATAGTTCTGTGAATTATTTAATTCATAATTACGAATTCTTCAAACAAATAATAAAATTATATTCTAAATATCTTATAGCTTCCTTAGGAATTAAATTCATATTTTTTATATTTGATAATGCAGGTGCATTTCTAGATGGATAGAGGTTCCTAGACCTTGCCAACTACCTCTTCTCCATAAATTTATAATCTGCTGTGGGTCTTTGTGGCATTCCCACTGGCTTCGCCACCAGCCAATTGAGAATGGGGCCCTGGAGTGCTGTTTATTGTTATTTACCTTATTCTCACACTGAGTCAAGTATAGACACAGCTTCTGTTTATTTCCCATGCTAGATATGGGATGGTTGAAACATCCAGAAAAGGTAAAGACTCCTAGATAACAAAGGAAATTAATAATGGAAAGTAAATTCATTTTACTCGTAGTAGAAGTGAGAATTCTCACATTGCCCGGTGGGCTGCGGGAACTGGTCTCTGATGTGTCTCTGACTTCCTGGCTTCCTTCCTGTTCTGCTCCTGTCTCACTTGGTTTTGTCATAGTGGCTTCCTTGCTGATTCTTGGACCTTCCTGCATTTCTGTACTAAGTGTCTACACCAGCTGTTCTCTTTTGCCCTGGATGTAATGCATAACGCCCTCCCTCCTTCAAGTCCTTGCTCAGATTTTGCCTACTGAATGAGGACTGCCTTGATCTCTCTGTATAAAACTGTCCCCACCTCCCACCCCTATCTTTGGTTCCCTGTTCCCTGTTCTACTCTATTTTTTCCCCACAGTACCTAATTACTTTCTAATATACTTTAAAATTTATGCTTTACTTATTTATCATATTGTTAGTGTCTGTGTCTTGTCACTAAAGTGTAAGCTTAAGGAAGAATTTCTTTTTTATTATTATTATTATTTTTTAATTTTTTTTTTTTTTCCCCAAAAGACGGAGTTTTGCTCTTGTTACCCAGGCTGGAGTGCAGTGGTGCAATCTTGGCTCACCACAACTTCCGCCTCCTGGGTTCAGGCAATTCTCCTGCCTCAGCCTGCTGAGTAGCCGGGATTACAGGCATGTGCCACCATGTCCAGCTAATTTTTGTATTTTTAGTAGAGAAGGGGTTTCACCATGTTGACCAAGATGGTCTCGATCACTTGACCTTGTGATCCACCCGCCTCGGCCTCCCAAAGTGCTGGGATTACAGGGGTGAGCCACTGCGCCCGGCCAGAAGAATTTCTTTATCTGTTTTTGTTTCTTTTATTATGGTGGTGGTTGCTGTAATAAACCCGTGTATCTCAAGGACCTAGAACACTGGTGTCTGGTATATAGAAGATGGTCAGTGACTGTTTATTTAATAAATTGCCCATTTGGCTCTTGCCAGACTGACAGTGTGTGACCCATAACTAGACTGTCTCACACTCCTCACCTCTGTCTTCTGTCTTTGTTATATGGCCCTTTTGAGTACACCTTAATTTTTTTTTACAAATCCAAAAGAGCAAAGCCTAGAGAAATGAAGGAACACCCTTTATAGCCATCTAAATTCTGTTTTGAATCCTCTATGGGATGATTGCTAAAGAGGAATAAGTATACTCCATTGGAGAGTGGCCATACCCCATGGTCTAAATATGGCAGTTGTGCCAAGCCATGCCTTTCTTTTCCTGTGTATTCTTAAAGCAGTTTTCATTTCCAAATCCGTGACGGTAATGGACGGTTTCACCTCTTATATTGTGCAAAGTTCAACCTGGAACAGAAATGACTATGTAGTGGGAAACTGAGTCACCAAGTTAATAGGACTAGGAGCAGGATAATGGGTTTGTTCTTTCATACCTGTCTCACATTTAAGTCCTTACGAGTTAGGTAAATTAGGTTCTGGTTCTGACTCTTTAAGTATAGTTACATTGCGTGACCTTTGACCAGGTAACAATTTATCTGGACTTAGGTTCCTTCAGTATTAAAGTTGAAGTAGATATTTTTTTTTTTTGTCTGTGGAGTTTAGCTGTATCATGATAAATGTTTTAAAGTTTACAATTGTAGTAACTGTCTTTCAAAGTGTTAGCACTTCATACTTTTGTTATTATATATAAATTTATACTTAGTAAGGTCTACATATTTAAAAAGTTATGTACTTTCATAAGATAAACCGACTTGTGATAATTAGTTAGCTTTGAAGTAACTAGAAAATTGAATCCTGCCTCCCTTTTTGTCTTCCTTCTTTCCCATATTCTCTGTCCTTTGGATTATCTATCATACAGTTTTACTTTGTTTGCTTAGAGAACAAAAGGATGATCCTTTAAAAGTATTTTTCATGAATTTGCTTTTGAATCTTTATTTTGTTCCTCATTGTGCCCCCGAGCGTCCAGCAGATTTTCTTGTGCTTAATAGGTGTTCCTTAAAAGTTGATTGAATTAATGAATTTGCATTCATTTTTCCTTAGTAGTAAATGGACAAAGAAAGTGATTTTTAAATTTCTGTTATTTTAAGAAAGGTGACTCTTGTGATGCTGGGACTTGATAATGCTGGTAAAACCGCAACGGCAAAGGGAATCCAAGGAGGTAAGCTGAAAATATTTCCCTGCTTTCTGAACTCTGTTAAGTCATTCCGAATCATTGAATTATTTATTCATGTTAAATTGCTTTATTCCCTAGTAATTTGGTACAGACACTGTGTACTCCATTACTTTATGTTCTTTGTATACTTGTGACTCATATGGCAAATAGGTTCTGGCTTAATGGGGCCAGATTATTATCATGTTTCAGATTTGCATACATGCAGAGAGGCATAGGCTCCTTGAGGCCTTTGATGTGCTAAGGGGGATAGTATCTGTATTCTGGACAACAGGAAGAAAAAGTTAAAAAGATGACCTACCCCAGCTTTTAAGAATACTCATCTTCTTCTTACATTTTCCTGGCCAGAAGTTAGTCACATGGCTATGCTTAGATGAAAGAGAGGTAGAAGTATAGTTAGCCAGCTTAGTTCTCTGTGAATCTCTTGATGCTTTTTGTAATATGATAAGTAATTTTTATAATGAAGTTATAGATAGGACCTCTGTATCATTAAATGGCTTTATATCATACATACTGCATCTCATTGAATGTTGGATATATATCATATATATTACATCAGATTGAGTGTATCTCATTGAATGCTGGCTAATCTTTTTTTTTTTTTTTTAATTTTTAGTTTATTAGGGTTTTTTTGGTAGAGATGGGGGTCTCCCCATGTTGCCCAAGCTGGTCTGGAAAGCCTGGCCGCAAGCTCTCCTTCTGCCTTGGCCCTCAAGGGTACTAGGATTACAAGCATGAGCCACCACGCCCAGCCCGGCCAGCTAATCTTAATGTAATGCTTTGTGCTACAGTATAGCAGTGTCTGTGCTAGTGACTTTGTTGGGCACCTAGAATCACTAGTCATGCATCCAAAGTGGGTCCCTGACCCTGGGGCTGTGGCCTGTCAGGAACCAGGCTGCAAAGCAGGACGTAAGTAAGCGGCAGGCCGGTGAGCAAAGCTCTGTCTGTGTTTGCAGCCTCTCTCCACCGCTTGCGTTACTGCCTGAGCGCCACCTCCTGTCAGATCAGTGGTGGCATTAGATTCTTAGGACCATGAACCCTATGTGAACCGCACGTGCAAGCGGTCTAGGTTATGTGCTCCTTATGAGAGAGAATCTAATGCCTGATGATCTGTCAGTGTCTCCCCTCACTCCCAGATGGGACCATCTAGTTGCTGGAAAACAAGCTTAGGAGTCGCACTGACTCTACATTATGGTGAGTTTTGTGTTACAATGTAATAGTAATAGAAATAAAGTGCGCTATAAATGTAATGTGCTTGAATCATGCCGAAACCAGCTCCACCCTCCAGTCTATGGAAAAACCATCTTTCACAAAACTGGTCCCTGATGCCAAAAAGGTTGAGGACCACTGATCTAAAGGGTAAGAACTGAGAGAAAAGCGTAACGTGTATTTGTTTCTGGAAACTGATGATTGCAGTAAGATATCATGCTTACTAAATAGTGGAGGGCGTTTATTAACAGGTTGCAAAACTCACCGTTGGAGAAAAGCATTTTCTCATCTCAAATGCTACGGTATAGCATTAAGTACCTATATTGTGGATGAATTTTCCTAAAGCCTGGAAAATTGTTTATGTGTTTATGCTGTCTTCTATGTTATGTCTTCACAGAGCGCTCATCATCTTTATTTAAACCAGTGTTCAGCAAACTTTTTCTGTAAAGGGCTTGATAGCAAATATTTTAGACCGTGTGGTCATATATTCTGTTTCCGAACTACAAAGCTTTGACACTGTGGTGTGAAAACAGCCATAGATGATCTGTATACAGGCTGGGCTCAGTGGCTCACGCCTGTAATCCCAGCACTTTGGGAGACCGAGGCAGGCAGATCATGAGGTCAAGAGATCAAGACCATCCTGGCCAACATGGTGAAACCCCGCCTCTACTAAAAATGTAAAAATCAGCTGGGCATGGTGGTGCATGCCTGAGTCCCAGCTACTCGGGAGGCTGAGGCAGGAGAATTGCTTGAACCCGGGAGGCCGAGGTTACAGTGAGCCGAGATTGCACCACTGCACTCCAGCCTGGCAGCAGAGTAAGGCTTTGTCTCAAAAAAAGGAAGCTGTTGTGAAAACAAAAAATTGAATGAATAAAACCTAGTATTTGAAAGCACAGCAGGGAGACCGTAGTCAATAATAATTTACTTGAACATTTAAAAACAACTGAAAGAGTAACACAAAGAACAAAGGCTTCAGGGAATAGATGCCCAATTTTTCATGATGAAATCATTATGCATTGCACGCCTATACAGAAATACCTCATGTACCTCATAATATATACACCTACTATGTACTCACAAAAATAAAAGAGGAAAAAATAGCTATCATGAATAAACAAATTAGCCAGGCATTCATTTGCCTGTGGCACATTTCTAGTCTAGCTACTCTAGAGGCTGAGACAGGAGGATGGCTCAAGCCCAGGAGTCTGAGATTACAGTGAGCTGTGATCACGCCACTGAACTTCAGCCTGGGTGACAAAGTGAGACCCTGTCTCTAAACACACACACACACACACACACACACACACACACACACGCACGCAGGAGGATCACTTGAGGACCATCCTGGGCAACATAGTGAACACAACTCCAAAAAATTAGAAATAAATAAATAGAATACGAATATAAAGAAGAAGCTATTGTGGCACTACAGATGAAAGAAACTGAGGGTTTGGATTTAGGCAATGGCAATGCAGTCAGAGAGGAGGGAGACACGTCTGAAAAGAAGCTAGCAGGTAACTTTTTCTCAATTTCACATGGAAATTAAAAAAAATAAAAGGCCGAAAAGTAGGAAAAGAAGCAGAGATAAAAGACCAGTAGACATTCTTTCTAGTTAGATAAGTGGGACAACATAAAAATATAAAGGCAAGAGCAGACTTAAATCTAGGAAGCTTCAAGTAGTTCTATGAAATTGGAGTCTTAAAAAGATTTCCAAGTAAGAAATTGAAGAGTAAATATGGGATGAAGGACAAACAGAGAACGGGGGTGGGGCTCAGAGTTGACGGCAGCTTTGGCGTTAAGCATTTTGGACTCAGAAAAAGGACCTGAGGGATATGTGCAGGTGGAATACATAAGGGAAAGGAAAGAGGATGTGCTGAGCACACTCAGTACACATAATAAATTAGGTAATCTGATTAGCACATTCTTAGGTGCCTGTGCCCATGAATGTCAGGCTTTACCAGAATGGATAAAAGGAGGTTAGATAAGGGGTCATGGCCTCCAGGTCAAATCTGGTTTGCCACTTGTTTTTGTATGGCCCACGGGCCAAGAATGTGATTTGCATTTTAAATGACTGAAAAAAATTAAAAGAAAAATATTTTATAATACATGAAAATTACAAAATTTCAGTGCCACAAATAAACTTTCAGTGGAGCTTGGCCATGCTCATTTATATATGGATTTTTAAAAAAATTTTACCATAATTTATACAAGCCACAAATTTTTCTTTCTTTTTTTTTTTTTTGAGATAGAGTCATACTTTGTCACCCAGGCTGGAGTGCAGTGGTGCGATCTCGGCTCACTCAACCTTTGTCGCCTGGGTTCAAGAAATTCTCTTGCCTCAGCCTCCTGAGTAGCTAGGATTACAGGTGTGTGCCACCATGCCCAGCTAATTTTGGTATTTTTAGTAGAGAACGGGGTTTTGTCTGGTCTTGATCTCTTGACCTTGTGATCCACCTGCCTCGGCCTCCCAAAGTGCTGGGATTACAGGCGTGAGCCACTGCGCCCAGCCCTCAATAGCATCTTGATATAAAAACAACACTTCTTCCTGGAACTTTTCTTCTTCAAATCGACTTCTCTTCTTCATGGTTGCCAGTAATTGTATTAGTTGGACACAGGTTCAGTTGTTCTGACAGAGGCTGAACTAACAGTGGTTCAGCGAGATAGAGGTTTTCTTTCTTTCTCATTAGAGCCTGGGCAACAGTAGTCGAGGACAGGTTTGGCAGCTCCGTGGTGTTAGTGATCAGCTCTTTGTTCTTTTGCTTTGCCATCCCCCTGTGTTCTCCCTCAGCCGCATGGTCAAAGGCAGTTCACTACAAAATGGGCATTTCAGCTAGAAGGAAGAGGTAAAGGGGAAGGGGAGGCCATCCTCCTTTCCTTTAGGAGCTGAGCCAGGAGCTGCTGCATCATTTTAGTTCACAGCCATTGACTAGAAGCGGCGGTGTTCTGCACCTGCTGTTCATAGTAGCTCATTGTCAACTAGAGAGGGACGATTATGCATCTCTCTTCCCAACTCCGTGTTCAGGTACCGCTCATTGCTGGTTTGAGATGGGCCTTGGTTGAAGCATTTACACTGTGAAGCTGGCAGATACCGCGCACGTATCAGGGCTTTCCTCCTGCAGATACTTAACAGCACGTCACTAGCAGCCTCCTCTCATGGCCACCCCTGCCTGCCATAGTAGTTGGGGATTGTAGTCTGTCATAAGCAGTCATGAGCCTAGATTTACAAAATCTGGGATTCTCTGACTGTCAAATGATGTTTCCTAATAGGGAACTATTGTTATTTTTGGTATGCAAATTACTTGTGTGGCTTGGTCCCTAGCATTGTTGGATATTCACATGTCTTCATTATATTGTAGTTACATGTGAAGAGAAAAAAGCAAATTATAGTTACTTGTATATATATGTGCGTGTGTGTGTTTTATATGTAGTTATTATATATATACATATTTCCCCAATAGACTAAGAGCACTATGAGATCAGAAGATGGATTTTATAAATCTTTGTATTTCTAGAACCATGCATATTACTTAGCTTATAAGAAATGCTCAAAAATGTATTGATTATATATTTGCATTTTATTTTGGACTTTATAGAGATTATGTCTTACCACGTATCCTTTACTGAAATTCTCAGAATTGGGGACCATATATCTTTGTGTTCCTGGTTCTTGTGTGATTTCTCATCTATAAGAGGCCCTAAATATGTACAAGGATAGATTGATAAATATATGGAAGGACAGGAGAAAGGATGGATGTATGGGACAGCAGCTTCAGTTATCTCAGTGGTTTGGTGGTGTAGTATCGAGCCCTACATGCTTTTTGCTGAGTTTTGAGGATACAAAGACATGGTCCCATGTGTTGAGAAGGTATTAGCTAATGTGAAGACTGCAGAAGACAGAGTATTATGTTAGAGGTAAAGGTGACAGTAGAGGTAGGAGGAATTGTCAGAGAAGGATTTATGGAAAAGTTGTAGCCAAACATTTAAATTGTGAAACACAAATGCTGAGTTAGGAACCTGAGGAAGGAGTAGAAGGTGTTCCATGTGTCAAAAGAAACAGGCTTTGGAAGTCCTGAAGACCTTTGTTTGAGGCCTGCCTCTGCCTGCCATGTAACCTTGAAAAAAATTTCTTCATCTGAATTGGTTTACTGGGCATAGTGCCATCATTTTATCTGTGCTTACATTGCTCCCTCTGCCTAAAATATAGTTCTCCGTTCTCTGTTACAATTATGTAGCTTTTATGTGTTCACTTGCAATGAAGTCTTCATTCCAAGCTTTTATTTCTGCTCTGAAAGCCTTTCTAGACCATAACTCGCCCCTCCTTCTTTTCACCTTCCTTCCCTTGAATTCCTATACACTATCGTCTCTAGGTTATTTTGTTTAAAGAACATAACAAATCCTGTGTTGCTCCTGTTAGTATTCTGCTTCTCTGTATTACATTGTACCGTGAGGACAGCAGTCCTATCTTACTCATCTTTGCACCCTTGATGCCTCACAGAGTCCTGGTACCAGGAGGTGTTTGATACATGTTAGTCCCCTTATTCCTGTTTCAGCATAGCTGATTTGTTTCACTGATGATTTCCTGGGATTCCTCTCTATTCGTACTGAAAGACAGCTGCCTGTTCTATTCACACAAACTAGTTCTGGTTAGCCTTAGACCACATTTTAAAATGTCTAGTGCAATCCTGTTTCTGGGAAATCATGCTGCTTATATGTTTACCTTTACCTTTTTCTCTTTCTAGATAATGAAAGTATTAGCAAAAGTATGACTTGTAGTGGCTCTTAAGTTTCTCAGGTGCTGTGTAAACTTCCCTAAGGTGTTTACCAAGAGATTGGTGTATTGTAAGCTTGTTTCTCAGTCACACATAAGTCCAGCGAATGTGTTTCAAATGAATCTGTAATAGCAAATGTTTTGCTAAATGTGGGAATAAGACCCTCTAAACACCGGTGGTGTTCAATAGAACTTTCTGCCATGATAGAAATGTTCCTTATTGGCTCTGTCCAGTAGGGTGGACCACTAGCCACATGTGTCTTTTTTTTTTTTTTTAGCTCTAGATGTTACCCAGGCCGGTCTCAAATTCCTGATCTTAGGCGATCCTTTCGCCTCTGCTTCTCAAAGTGCTGAGATTACAGGCCTGGGCTACTGTACCCAGCCACCACATATGGCTTTTGAAAACTTGAAATATGACTGATACAACCAAGAAAATGAATTTTTAATTTAGTTTATTTAAATTTAAAAAGTTTCATGTGTCTTGTGTCTATTGTTCTGATCATGCAGCTCTGAACAGTGTCCTGTGGGATAATATTTATAGTGAATTCCACTGATGAAGAAGAAATGGGAGAGACAAACATGAAGCTTGAACTCTTCTCTACAGCCATGAGTCAGCAGGTTCTATGAATGGTTCATGAGTTCTTTCTTTTCTCTTCCTTTATTTTCATGGCTCTCTGAAAAGAGGCTATCACCGTCACTTCCGGTCAGTCTAGAGACTTTGCAAGATGGATCTTAATAAAACACTATTTCCGTCACCTTAATTCCATCATTGGTCTACCAGATCTTTTCAGTGGCCCCTTGTTCTCTGTCTTCAGGATGCTCTTCTGTTTGCGTTCATGATCCTAAGGATGTGCTGCAGGCAGTGTTCAGTTAGTTCTTATTCCTTTACTCTGCCGTTACCCTTCCTCTTCTGCCTGGTTCACTCCTACACAGCTGGAAAGCCTAAACTCCGTCTCTCCTAGGACGTCTTTTATGATCCTCAGGTATCTTAAATCTCTTGCTGTCATTATCACTCCTTGGCAGTTCCTATACATCCTGTACCTTCTTCGTGTTTTCATAGAAATCCAGAAAAATTCACTGACGTATTTACTGGAACAGCCAAAATAGGTTTCTCTAGAAAAAAGGAAATCTACTTTTTGTTGCAAGCTGCCCTTAACGGTCTCTTCGTTGCAAATATAGCTTTAATTTGGCTAATTAAAAGAAGAGTGGTCTTATTATTTATAGCTTCTCTCATTCTTCTAAGCTCTTCTATTCTCTGAGTGTTCGTGGTTTTCTTTATAACTCCAGATGTTGTAACAGCCCCTGTGGATGGCTATGGTATTGAAAGGTTGACATTTTTCTTGTTTGTAACTTGGACAGTAAATAGCCATAAAGGCAAGAGTTTATTCATTTATTAATTCAACAGACGCTTACTAAGTACTGATTACATGCTAGGTGCAGGTGTTATATCAGGGGAAAAAAGATTCCTGTCTGCATGGAGTAAATTTCTAGTTTGATATTCTGACCTGTTGCCAAACCAGTATGCTTTGATACAATATCTATTGTGTAAGTATGCGCATAATATGTAAGTAAGTGTATAATATGCTAAATATCCCTCTTGCTGCTAAACCAGTATGCTTTGATACAATATCTATTGTGTAAGTATGCGCATAATATGTAAGTAAGTGTATAATATGCTAAATATCCCTCTTGGTGCTAAAATGCGACAGCACTCTTCATGTCATTTTAGTTGAAAAATTAACATTACCAATTAAAGTCTAAAGTTTTTTTTGTTTTTTTTTTTTTTTTTTGTATAATTTTAAACAGAATGCCCTGAAGATGTAGGTCCTACTGTTGGATTTTCAAAAATTAACCTTAGACAAGGAAAGTTTGAAGTCACCATCTTTGACTTGGGAGGTGGAAAAAGAATTCGGGGAATCTGGAAGAATTACTTCGCTGAATCCTTTGGGGTAATATTTGTTGTGGATTCAAGTGATGAAGAGAGAATGGAAGAGACAAAAGAGGCTATGTCAGAAGTGCTGAGACATCCTAGGATATCGGGAAAGCCTGTATTGGTGTAAGTAATGTTACTGGAGTAAGTAATGCTACTGGAGTAAGTAATGCTACTGGAGTAAGTAATGTTACTGGAGTAAGTAATGTTACTGGAGTAAGTAATGTTACTGGAGTAATGTTACTGGAGTAAGTAATGCTACTGGAGTAAGTAATGCTACTGGAGTAAGTAATGCTACTGGAGTAAGTAATGCTACTGGAGTAAGTAATGTTACTGGAGTAAGTAATGTTACTGGAGTAAGTAATGTTACTGGAGTAAGTAATGCTACTGGAGTAAGTAATGCTATTGGAGTAAGTAATGCTACTGGAGTAAGTAATGTTACTGGAGTAAGTAATGCTACTGGAGTAAGTAATGTTACTGGAGTAAGTAATGCTACTGGAGTAAGTAATGCTACTGGAGTAAGTAATGTTAGTGTCACCGTAAAGGTAGGGGCAGTTGCATTGCCACTGAAGAGATTTACATGTTACAAACTATTGAATAAGCTAAAATAATCATGGTTTAATATACTAAAATGTATGTAATTAACTGGGAGTTGTTAATTTACTGAGGCCTTGTTATAATGCTGTCTGTCGGTGAAAAGGGCTTCTGCGAATTCTTAGATATTCAAATATGAGCTCATTGTTTTATGTGATAGTTTCCTTCTTATCGAATTTGTTATTTTGAAATACTCCATTAACAAGGTTCTAAAGTATCTTTTAATTTTTTTCCTCTTTTAGTAACTCGTATTTGGCTTTTGTCCTTTTTTTCCTTGAAGAATATTCTTGTTTAAGAGTTATGTAAATGGTTTATTTTTCTAATACTACATTGATTTCTCAGTTTTCACTTCTACATTTCCATGTTGGGCATGTGATTGTTATTAAATTAAACGTACACTCATATGATTTCATCCGTATGGGTGAACATTTTTAAGAAACTAAATGACAAAAAACTTGTGCGTTACCAGCCCTTATAGCATTTATGCACAGTGAACAGCAGATGGCGCTATGACTGTGTGGCATCGCAAACAGAACTCGGAACAAACTGCCTTTGCCTTCTGGCTTCTTTTCCCTTGTTCTTGTGGTTCATTATTAAGGATTTAAAAAAAAAATCAACCTATCATGTGCTTAGATGAAAAATTATAGAGTTTCTCACTGGTCTTCAGTAGTAAATGAACACTTTTAAATGAGACAGTTTGGAATCTCTAAAGTTAAAACAGTATTACATCATTTGCTGGTAAAGTTTATACTTTTAAATTTTTACATATTTAGTTAGAGAAGTTATTTGATTTGTGTAAGCAATTCTCACGTTTATTGAATCTGGAGGAAAACTTTTAACAGAAATGTCTATGAAGAGAGAACTTTGCTGAACCCCATAGACTAAATTGTGTTTACAAATGTTTAAGCAGGGAATCAGTGATTTCTAGAATAAAGTAAAAAACATTAGTGATGGTTATTTGTAAAACAATATTTTGTACTTTTAAAAAAACTAGTCATTTGCGTTTTTTCATTTACTGTTTTATGGATTTATTCATTAATACATGCATTAATTCAACAGATATTTATTTGAGCATCCACTATTTACCAAGCATTGCTGGGGTTGGGGATGTGTTTGGGAATAAAAATAACAAAAATCCACATTAGATCTCAGCAGCTTATAATTCTAGAAGGTGAGATACACACTAAATATAATTAACCAGTAATATGTTAGATGATAAGTGTATTGAAAACAACGAAGCAAGTAAAAGAATATCAGAAAGCCGGTGGTGGCAGCGATGACGAGGGCACGTTGCTCTTATAATTAGGGTAATCCTAATAGGCCTTATTGAGAAGCTGACATTTGAAGTGAGAGAGTCAGTCATGCAGATACCTGTGGAAATGCCTCAAAGCAGGGGTATACAGTTGTTAAGTGACTACACTGATTACTGAGTAATCAAATAACTATCAGCAAAATATCTACTTTGAATTCTGTCACCTATCTCAGCTAGTGAATTTCCTGAATAGAAAAGAAAATATAGAACTACTGTGACTGCTTCACCCTTATAAACTAAACTCGTAGTTAGTGAGAACTCACAAAGATATAAGAATTATGGACAGTCTAATAAGTTTGTGAAATATAGAATGGTTTGCCATTTGACTTTTCTCATAGGAGTTTTATAATCATAGAATTTTATTTCTAAAGGTAAACTGCTTTTTGGAAGAAACATGATTTGAAAATATACAAAATGTATACAAAAGTACACATTCTTGATAAATTTCAAAGATATAGGGAAAGGTTTTTTATTGATATTTAATAGTTGTACATATTTGGAAAAGGATGTTTAAAAAAGTGATTGACTTACCATCCAGAGCCAGCCTCTGTTAGCATTTTGATGAATTTCTATGCACATATTTATGAGACATGTAATGCATACAGTATTTATATAGTAACTAAAATAGATCTCACTCTTTTTTTTAATATGTTTCTAAACATCTCTCCAGTGTCTGCCCAAGCCCCGTATTTGAAAGTTCTCCTGTTTACCTTTTTCTCTCTGACCTGCAGTTAATTTCTCTTAGTGATATTACTGTCTTCATATTGTTTGAATCTCTTCACTGCTCCTTCTTCCCTTTCCTTTTCCCTCCCTTCAGTTCCTCTTCACCAATCCCACGTCGAAACAGTCCCTTAAGCAGTAACCCAGTCCTGCCTGCCCTCCAAGCTCTCCTCTACATTGCCAGCAGTTCTCTATTTGATATTTTCCAAATTACAAAAGTGGTACATGCTTGTTATAACCAGTGAAACAATGCAAGAAATGTAAAGAATATCAGGATACTTTTAAAAATACAGGTTTGATAATTTTACTATTTCTTTGCTTAAAGTTCTTCAGGTTCCTCTCATAGCTCCATGCCGATAAGAATATTTTTTAAACTGACATAATCCCTACAACTAGAATAATGCCTTGCATAGAATAGGTCTGACACTGACAGATCTGCTGTATCATAAGTAGGAAAGGCTGGTGGCTCAGGCCTGTAATCCCAGCACTTTGGGAGACTGAGGCGGGTGGATCACGGGGTCAGGAGATTGAGACTATTCTGGCCAACATGCTGAAACCCCGTCTCTCCTGAAAATACAAAAATTAGCTGGGTGTGATGGTGTGAGCCTGTAGTCCCAACCACTTGGGAGGCTGAAGCACAAGAATTGCTTGAACCCAGGAGGCGGAGGTTGCAGTGAGCTGAGATTGTGCCACTGCACTCCAGCTTGCCATTGCTACATAAATAAATAAATAAATAAATAAATAAATAAAAATAAGTAGGAAAGATGTTCTGCGGAACTGTGCTAAGCTCAGTGCCAGGGGATAGGAGTTGTGGAGAAGAAGCAGGAGGGGATACTTGTCTTAGAGTCGGGTGACAGTGCTCTTTGTTTCACAGCTTCCAGATACATTTACAGCATCTGATTTCTTCTGCTCACCCCTTTTGTGAGCCTGAACTGGTTGAGGCGATGTGCAGTGCCCCTTAGAAGTCATTTTAATGCTGGGATAACTTCCTTCTCCTTCCCCCAATAGCAAGCAAACAGAAAACAACAGAGCTCTGAAAAGGTTCACTCATTTAATAGAAGGAAATAAACCTAAAGATTCAGAATATTTTCTGTAATCACAAAATTACACATTGATAGAGCCAGAATGATTTATCTGTGGGAAGTAGAGTGGATGGCCACAGTAGCAGGTTATGACAATCTTACTTCTTCTCTTCTTGCTCCTGCACGCAAGGCTCACAGCATGTGTGATTGCAGACAATGCCTTGACCGGTGTCTCGGTCTTCTTTCATGCTGCTGGTAAAGACATACCCAAGATTGGGAAGAAAAAGAGGATTAATTGGACTTACAGTTCCACATAGCTGGGGAGTACTCAGAATCATGACAAGAGGCAAAAGACACTTCTTACAGGGCAGCGGCAAGAGAAAAATGAGGACGATGCAAAAGCAGGAAACCCTGATAAAACTATCAGATCTTGTGAGACTTACTGACAACCACGAGAACATTATGGGGGAAACTTACCCCCATGATTCACATTGTCTCCCACCAGGTTCCTCCCACAACACAGAATTATGCGAGTACAATTCAAGATGAGATTTGGGTGGGGACACAGAGGTAAAACCGTATCAGTGAGATTTTACTTGATGTCACAGACTGGAGGTTTTTCTTGAAAAGTCAGAATCTGAATGTGATTGGGTTTCTTTGTTTTATTAGCTCTGAAGTTCTTTTTGGCAATTATATAGCATTTATTAATCAGCATAATATTTTAATTAAAATCTTCTGAAATAAGTGGTGAGAGTTGAAAACCCGTTAGTTCAGGGAGAAGACAGTCTAGAACCTGGATTCGAAGAACTACTATGAATTTGCTGATAACCCTGACCAGACGCTCTACTTCTTTGGGCTTAGTTAAATGCTTCTTCTATTATAAAAGTAGCTGTAAAATATTCTGATTCTTTGTATTCAGCTGTGTAGAGTGGCATGACCAGAACCAATTTCAATAAAAAAGTAAAAATGATTTCCATTCCTTTTAAAGACAGTGAAAATAAATGCCATGCAAACGTATGCTTTGCAGTCGTGTTAACCTGGAAAGTCCTTTTCTCTCACCTCAGCTATTTAGAAATTAACTCCAGCCTGTACTGTAGGGTATGAAATGTTATCTCCTCTTGCCTACTCCCCACCTCCCTCAACTGTTTAGAGCTTAATTGATGTAGCTGGCCCTTGAGATGTTTTTAAAAAATACAAACAGAAAAACTTTCAAACCAGGTAGTCTTGACAAAGAAGGCCTTTCTAAGAAAAGAGTAAGCAGTTTTTGCAGCTGTCTAAATGGCACTCAAAGCAGCAGTAATCCCAGATTTTAAGCTCAACATCCAGTGTGGAAATTTCCATTAATAGTCGATTACCTGAGGACTAAACTGAGCTGCGGCGTATTTTAAACAGCTTAATCTACTGAAATTTTCAGCAACACAGGGTTACACTGATGTCGTAAGAAGGCACATGCTCTTTCTACCCCGTCTCACTGGTACCCGTGGAGGCTTGGCCTGAGAGAAATTATAAACTACCCCTTCTTTTTATAGTTGAATCTCCTAACACTTTTAACCAGACGCACAGGCTAAACTTTTCTTTTAGGATAATGACAGTTCTGGTGTTAGCGCCCTCAAACACCGTTATTGGAAGGTGCCACTTTCTCATCACACGCTGCCTGCTTTTCTGTGAAGTTACATGAACTAACTTAACTTCTGGCCAGTCCTCACAAATTGAATGATGACAACAAAAGTTATATATATATATATTTGAGAGAGAGAGAGAGTTTCACTCGGGGAAGACAACCGATAGCTCTGATTTGATCTTACTGGAGTTCCTTGGCCACTCTGGACACACTGTCTCTGGGGTAGTCCTGCTCCTCAAGGGGCAGTAAAAATAAATTAGATAGTTAGATACGTAGATAGAGAAATAAATAATTCTTGACCCACGGTCTTTGCACCATGAATGCCCTCTCAAGGCCCTCTGAAATCATACACGCAATTCCAAGTGTACGTGCGTTTTTCTTGTGAGCAGATTCTAAAGAAGTTTATGATTAAAAAGGTGAAAAACCCTGTCAATGAGTTTCCATATTAGGAGAGACAATAACCAGGCTTTAATTACTACTTTTTCAACATGGGATTTTTTTTTTTTGGTTCCAACCTTTTTATGCTTATTTGACTCACCTTCCTTCTAGGTGGTATTACAGCAGAATGTTCGTTTGCAAGTTTCTTTTAGTCATATTCTTCATTGTAAGTGCCCAGGAGAAGTTAAATAGGTTATGGTTATCCTATTAGGTTATCAGACATTGACTGCAACATACTTTTATCACATTAGACATTTAAATAATAAAAGGAGAGTCTGAGTCCTGTTTTAGAACGCTGGAGACCCATCAATATGGAATTATGGTCTGCCCGTGTCACAAAATCAGTTGATCCTTAGATAGAATGAGATAGAGCGGTGAGTCCCTTGCTGACTGATTTCACCCTCTGAAACCCCTACTTATTGAATTTATAAGACCCATTGGCTTAAGATTTCTCTGCTTTCATTGGAGTCTTACCACTGTCATGCTCATTAATGTCGTTTACTTACACTGCTGACTCTTCTCCAGACGTCCTTACTGAATGATTCCTTTTGTCTCTTACTGGCATTCGGCTTCATAACAGCTGTAGTTGACAGTAAAGCTCCTCAGCTGATTGATTTTGCAGGTAATTTAAGCCCTTGGAGCCTGCAGAAGTTCCCATCCCTGCCTCCCCTATCACTTCAATCTAGTTAAGAACAAAACACAGAAAATAACTCTTTGGCCGGTTACTAGGCAGCAAGATGTTGTCCATGAACCACCTGCATCAGCATCAGCCTAGACCTTCAGAATTTTTGAGGGTGAGACCATAAATGCTTTGGAGATTTTCCCCCCACATGTCCTCCAAATCATTCTGATTCATAGCAAAAACAGAACTACTAGTATAGGAGACAGTGTATGTCCAAAAGGCCTTGGGTAGGTTACTTCATCTTTCTAAGCTTTTATGTCTGCATTTGTCATAATACCTGTCTTGTTATGTGAATTCCAAATAATGCATTTAAATCCTCTCAAGCCTCTAGTGCAGCATTTCACTAGTGTTCTGTAAATGCGATGGTGGGTATGAATATTGCTACTATTGATAATATACTGTGTCCAGATGTAGATGAATTAGGAGAGCCACTTTCAGAGTATTTCATCTTATGAACTGAAGCTCTGTGAAGCTTATAATTACAGAAAATGACAAAGAGTAATAGTTACGAAGATGAGCTTTAGTGCTCAGAGTGATTTTTATTTTTATTATTCCATACTTCCAATATTGCAATATTGTGCCTTCACCTCTTTTAAGATTTTTTCCCCCTCAAGGTTATTATTTTAAGAAAAAATATCTACTTTTAATGTCTAATTAAAGTGCGTAAATAAAATATAAACAATTCTCACAACTAATCAGCATGTTATCTTTTTTGTTTAGGTTAGGGTGATACTAATTGGTTTGGAAACGGAACAATGAAAATGGTTTCTGATACATTATTTCCTGATCTGTTTTGTGCTCAAGTCTTGCTTTAAAAGCACTGTGTGCAAATATAAAATGCTAAAATATTTTACAGATTCATCTGGATGTGATTGTACAGAGGAATATTAACTCGTACTCAATATTACCAGCTTTCACGCTGAGCAGTTTAGGGGCAATTATAAACAAGTATCACTACGGCTGTAGAAAACATTTTAGAAGGAACAGCAGAGAGATAGTTGCTTGTTACTACGCAGCTGTGGAGTTGTATCATCTTTTAAGTTTGTCTTTTTTTAATAATGTTAAACATTTGAAGCTGCGATATGTGAAACATCTTTTTCTCTAGTAATGCTTGATGATTGACACAATAGAAAGCTCTTCAATTTTGTGATGTTTTATAAATTAAAAATTATTTTGTAGTGTTTATGAAATACATATTTTACATATAAAATTCAGTCACTTCAAATACTCCCAAGCTCTCTTGACATATTTTCTTTCATTGTACATATGTGGAGGAGCCACCATCTTGGTTAGACCGAGTTATCTACGCATTCTGTGCCAGCACCCACATGCCAAACATGATAGATTAGTAATGCATGACTGACGGCTGATCGCACATTAAAGTTATGGTAACTTCCTGGTTGTCTTCATATCTTTCTTAGAATGTTTGCTGTTCTCTCAAAATGGCAGTTTCCCTCCTTGTCCTCTCTCTCTTCTCCCTTAACCTCACTGTACTTTCAGTTTTTGCCTGAATTCTTTAAGGAAATAGTTGAGTAATTTTACCCAGTGTGCTTTTCTTCCTAACCCCGCCTTTTCTTCTGCAGTGCGGAAGAAGCGTTTCTCTTCCTACCCAGTCCAGCTTCTCTCCTTCTGCTTCAGATTCCACCTCTTTCTGCTCTTGCACAGTATCCTCCTCTTTCTTATGTGAGGAGTTTCTGTCTTTTCCCATCTCAGTACACGACGTCGTCATCTAATCAGTATTCTGTAATTCTACTTCTTAAATCTATCAGAAGTGAATCTGATTTTTTCCCCATCACTACTGTATAGTATGTAGTAAGAGAATGGTTAAGAGCTGGCTCTGGAGTCAGACTGCCTGGGTTCGTATCCCAGTTCACCACGTGCAGTTTCTGTGACCTGGAACAGGTTGCTTAATTTCATTGCACCTCATGTTCATACTGGTAAAATTGTAATTATAGTGTCGACTTCGTACTTCATCCACTCTGAAATTACTGGAGCAGTGACGAGGGCACTGAGTGCTTGATTCATCTTTAGTGTTCTCTCGCTGCTGCCACCGGCACCGCCTCCTCTGTAATCCTAGCGCAAGCCTCCATCTTTTCTTCCTGCTGCGCTAACCTGATTGTTTTCTATACCTCTGTGCTTGTCTTTACTCACCTCCCCCGATTCCATTCTAACCCATTCTTCATACAGTAGACAGAATGATCTATGTCAAGTGTAAATTATGTTATATTACCATCGGGTCTAGAACAATCTGAGAGCCTCCTGTTGATTACATTGTATACACTTCGGACTTCTTTGCGTGGCTTACAAAACCTTAAATCCAGCCTTTGCTGACCTTTCTTAACCTCCTCTCGTATCTCACTGCCTTTTTCCGACTATGCCCTAGCTGGATTGTTACTTTTCTTTGCACAGAGTAAGCCATACCCTCCTTAGGGTCTTTGTACTGTTTGTTTCCATGCCAGGAATATACCGTCCCTTATACTCATTCAGATCTTCGCTTAAATTTCACATTTCAGAAAGGTCTTCATCGACTACGGGACCTAAAGACTCACCCCTCGGCAGTCTCTCCCTCATCCCTTTGCCCTTTCATTTTAAGTCTCTGCTCGGAACTTAACACTATCTTTGTATTTGTTATCTGCTTTCTCCACTAGAATGTGAGTTGCAAAACTCCGTCTCTGTGCTGTGTGAATTTAGACTGTATCCCTAGCTCATAGTATAGGATAGCATTATCATAAAGACATGGCGAAATATTTAAGAATGCAGGTGCCTTTAATTTGACTTTACCTGCCAATCTGTAATACATTGCCCTATATGGACCCAAGTTCAAACAGTGCCTTAACTCAGCTTCTTTTTCCTTAAGCCACATTCAGCTCCAGTAGCTAATTAGATTCTTCAAGTATGTAGTTGAGTTTTCCCTGATCTGTCAAGCATTGAGTTAACTTATCTGAGGATAAAAGATTTGATAAAGGGCCGAGAGCAGTGGCTCATGCCTGTAATTCCAATATTTTGGGAGGCTGATGGGGGGCGGATTACTGGAGATCAGGAGTTCGAGACCAGGCTGGCCAATATGGCAAAACCTCTTCTCTACTAAAAATACAAAAATTAGCCGAGTATGGTGGTTCACGCCTGTAATCCCAGCAATTCAGAAGGCGGAGGCACGGGAATAGCTTGATCCTGGAAGGTAGAGGTTGCAGTGAGCCAGGATCACACCACTGCACTCCAAAAAGAGACAAGATTTGATAAAGGTTCTAGTTTGGTTTAGATTTGTTGTAGCATGATTCTTAACTATCAAAATATTTTCAAATCAGCCAAATGGATTGCCTCGGTACTACTTAACAGGTGAGAAAAACGGGTAATGTAGAGTTTGATACCTGACCAGAAAATTAAGATTATTCAGCTCATTTTTAGTAGTTAACTTGTAAGTTGACAGTAACCATACTGTTTTTACTTTAATTAAATAAATGTGTGTTTTATGTAACTAGCTACAGAAGTTTCTGTAATTTTATTGGGTTAGGGTTAAAGGGGAGAATTACGACTTAAAGTGATGAAAGGTATGTGAATGGATCTGTGAGATGAAGAGAAACGGTACGAGACACTGAACTATGAGATACCTTTTATCCTAATGCTTCTTTATTTTGAGCTACAGCATGGACAGCACCAACAGCACAGTACCCTGCAAGGATTTCTTCTTTGGTATTTGACAGCTAGTCCAAATTTCTCTTTAGTATTGTTGACGTACTCCTTTGTACTAGTCACTGTCATTTCAATGTTGTCTATGCTCTCTCCTTGTTCCTCTACTAAAAGAGATATCTGAATGAAAAGATCCCTTAAATCCTTCATTTGGTTCTCTAAATTAACAAGTTCTTTGTGTCTCTGTTCAATCTCTGAAAGTTGTGCTTTAGTGATACTGATTTCTGTGAGCAGGCTTTCATTAAAAACTTCCCATTTTCCTTGATGAAGCATATCATTTACTTCTTCTTCCGTCGTGTCTTTTCCAGCAACTTCAAGCTGACGGAAGATAAATGTCTTGCACTTCTCCTGCTTTGCTGCTATTGTGTCATTGTATGTAAACATAGTTTGCTGAAAATGGCGGAACATTGCAGCGTGCTGAGATTTCAGTATCCTTGTGACCACTGATGATGGACCATTTTCAACCTCTGACTTTTTAACTTCTTTCACTAAATCATTCAAACTTCTGTTGATGTATTCTGCTTGGATTTTTATCTCTTTTGTAATGGTAGACTCTCTCTTAAGTAGACTAAACCTTCTCATTGAAGCCACCAGACTTTTCTGTTGCTGCCCAAATTTTTGAACATTATCTGTCAAACTGTTAATGCTTTCCTGTAGTCTCTGAATTTCATGTAGGTGTCTCTCAGCTACAGGCTCTCTTTCATAAATAACAGCGTGCTGCAGAAACAGCCCTTGTTCCTCTGTTTCTGCAGTTGATACGTGACCATCTCTAGAGACTTCAGTTTCCTTTGTTCTCTGCTTTAGTTCTTGAAGTCGGTCTTTCATCTTCCCTTTCCTCCTAAGAAGCAAAAACAATTGTTTTGAACAAGTAGAAATTTGATATTTTTACCCAGTAGCAGTTGACTTCGCATAACTGTCTGTATCCCAGCAGAAATTCTAGTTTTCTCAAATGAGGTTATTAGAAAAATCAGCAAGAGTTTCCTCATAAAAAGCATTGAAATAGGGAAGGCAGTATGAAATAATTTATAAGTTCCTTTGCATGTGAGTGCCGTTTAGCTGTGTGCGAAAGCAGTGATGCAGACTCAGTTGCTCAAAATAAGTTCTTTAGTGTCATGATACTCTCTGCCGTAGGATAGGTTGTTTTTTTTTAAAAATGAAGAATGCTTTCGACCATACCTTCAACTTAAAGGATTAATCTTCAGATGCCAAAAGTGCCCTTCTAACTAAAGATGCTGTTTGCAGTTAATTTGGCCAATATAATTTAAAAAAATACTCGTTTTGCTAAATATGCATCATTGAGTTAAAATCACTATAGTGACAGTATAGATTTTATATGAGAACTTTAAGCTACATGGATAACGTTGAATTTAAGTTTTCTGACGCATCTGAATAAACATTATTTGGCATAGTGTTTTTTTTTTAACCTATTACATATATTTGAAAACATTGGTTTGATTACACTGATTTCTCATTCTTAGCATTCTTCTGCAAAGATATCCAGACTGTCTTAGAACAAAATTTATATCAATTTGTATTAGGTGTTACTTTTATAAACATGAGGATATATTTATATAAAATCTTATTTGGGAGTAATAATATTGACACTTACCACATCCTATGTTGATGGTTATCCATAAGAATCAAATCGATGTGCATAATTTATATTCAATGATATAAATAATATGTAATGACATACATTGATATAAAATGAATGGAATAAAAAGCAGTTAATAAAATACCATTTTCACGGAGCATTTTGATTTTAGAAATGTCTTTCATGACGTTTTTGAAGATAAGAGGCTGCTGGGAGGATAAGTAGCTCACTGGACCACATATGATATTCGTATAACCTGGAGAAAACAAGGTCTCTGAGTGTGACTCTGTTACGCCGTAGGACTCCGTGTCTGATGCGTTTGTGGAAACAGTTTCATTAACCTGGACCTTGTTACAGGAGACATACTTAGCAGATGTGTCGATGGCACAAAATGTGAAGGGATCTTCAGTGTGTTGAAGTACAGGGTAGGGATTCAAAGATTAAAATAGTGTGGAACTTTATACCAAAAGCAAAAATATATTTATAGATGTAAAATATTTCATCTATTTCTAGTTATAAGAAGAATATCTTCATATCTACAGAGTAGAAGACCCTTGGGTCCACGATAGTGTCTATGAAAGTACTGGAGATATTAATTAAGCTCTATTTATTTTTTGAGACAGAGTCTGGTTCTCTTGTCCAGGCTGGAGTGCAATGGTTCGACCTAGGCTCACTGCACTTTCCGCCTCTCTGGTTCAAGCGATTCTCCTGCCTCAGCCTCCTGAGTAGCTGGGATTACAGGCACCCGCCACCACGCCCGGCTAATTTTTATGTTTTTAGCAGACACGGGGTTTCACCATATTGTCCAGGCTGGTCTTGAACTCCTGACCTCAAGTGATCTGCCCACCTCAGCCTCCCAAAGTGCTGGGATTACAGGTGTGAGCCTGCTCCCAGCCCAGTAAGCTTTCTGTCGGAGCTATCAGAATAGCCATTGTGCTTTTATAAATAGTAGTGTGGTGTCTGGACGAAGTAACCTCTGCCAACTCTGCGCTATTCAGAGTAAATCGCAGGGGTGAGGGGAACTCGGTGAACTTCTGAGCATATTTTGAGATGGAAATTCATAAATTAGGAATCAACAAACTAGCCTGGAAAGGATGAGAATGGAAAACCATACCTAATGGATACTCATTGAAATAAAGGGCAGTATTTGTCGTGTAAAAGAGAAGATGTAGGACGTGTATGCAGCTATCTTCTAAAACACGAAGGTCTGTATATACAAGTGGGATTAGACTGACTTGGCATAACTCCAGAGGGCAGTGGGTGGAAGTTACATGGAAAGAGGTTTGATTCAGTGTAAAGGAGACTTTTTAAACAAGTCTGGCTGCCAAGATGAAATGAGCTGCTTCATGGGGTGTTGAATTTGCCATCACTGGAGATTTTCAAGATGTTCTCGAATGATGACTTCAGTCAGGCATGTTACAGAAATGAGGCCTGTTTTGGGTAAAAGTTAAACCAATATCCTGGTAATATTCCTTTGGTTTTGAAAGACAGACATTTTGTGAAATAATCATTGAAGTCTACTAATATGTAAAGTTTTTAATGCTGTGTAGTATATATTTAACAATCCCTGTCCTTGAGGAATTTATAATTTAGGGAGGGAAGGACAATCTACAATTTAAAAGATAAATGAGACAATTTTAGGTTTTGATACAACAATCAGGCAGGGTCTCTCTAAGCAGATACTCAAGCTGTGAGACTCCATGTTGAGAAGCCAGGCAGATGAAGAGCCAAGAGAGTGTATTGTAGGTATAGGAGTCGGGGTACCGAGGCAGCGAATGCGACAGGTATGTTTTAGGAACACAGTTATCGCGTAAGAACAAAGTGAGTGTAGGTAGAAAGGAATGAGAGGAGTGATGTGGGAGTAAGGAAGTCAGAAAGGTGGGCATGGACCAGGTTATAAAGGGCTCACGGGCCAAAGGAAGGGCTTTAGATTTTATTCCAGGCCCAACAGAAATAGGATATTGTCATGATTTATTTATATATATATATTTATATATAATTAAAAAAATTTTTAAGCTGAAACAGGGTCTCCTTATGTTGTCCAGGCTGGTCTTGAACTCCTGGGCTTAAGCCATCTGCCCGCCTTGTCCTCCCAGAGTGCTAAGATTACAGGCTTGAGCCACCACGCCCGGCCCTAAGATGTTGCTTTCTATATAGAGAATAGTTTTTTGGGGAGGGAGTGGGAGTAGTTCACAGAAGAGACTTTAATGATAGAGATGAAGTACATGAGAACCATCAGTACATATTTTTGGAACTAGAAGCAGTGGGACTTGATGGTTTTAACTCATCAGTACGTAACACAATCATTTCTTGAAACATTTTGAGGCAAAGTATTTCTCCTGCTTTTTTCTCTTACCTTTTTGGCCCTTTCTTTATCACTATTTTCTGGCCACTCCTTATCTCCCCCACCTGTAAATATTGGATTAATTTAGGCTTAGTCCTAATTTTTATCTGTCATCAGTTTTCAGTCTCATGGCATTAAATCCTGTTCACTAGCTGATGACCTAAATTTGGATTTCCAGTCTAGGTTGCTGTTAAAAAACTACCTGCCTGCAGCTGCGTTTGAATGCCTCTGTCCAAAACGAGCTCATAATCTCCCTGTGAATCCATAAACTGTCCCGTCTCTTTTCTGGCAACTCTGTCTTTTCAGTTGCTCAGGCCAGAGACTCAGAAGCCTTTTTTTTTTCTTTTTCTTTTAAGACAGGGTCTCACTCTGTCCCCCAAGCTGGAGTGCACTGGTGTAGTCTCGGCTCACTGCAACCTCTGCCTCCCGGGTTCAAGCAATTCTTCTGCCTGAGCCTCCCGAGTAGCTGGGATTACAGGCATGCGCCACCACACCCAGCTAATTTTTGTATTTTTAGTAGAGATGGGGTTTCACCATGTTGGCCAGGCTGGTTGCAAACCTCTGACATCAGGTGACCACCTGCTTCGGCCTCCCAGAGTGCTGGGATTGCAGGTGTAAGCCACCGTGCCTGGCCGGAAGTAATTCTCGACTTTTTTTTTTTTTTTCTATACTTCATATGCAAACATAGCAAATCTTGTCAGCGTCTCTTTCAAAATGTATTTGGATCTGGCTACCTCCTCCACGTCCTTGGTTCAGGTCCCTGTTATTTTTTAATCTGGATTGTTGTCGTGGTCTCCTAAGTGTTCTCCTTGGTTCCTTTCTGCAGCAGCCACCCCCATCCTGCCCCCGCCACAAACCTTAGCTCTTCTGTTAACACAGCACTCACAGTTAAAATGTAAGTCACATCATGTCATTCCGGTGCCTGAAATCCTTCTTTGGCATTATCTTCTAGAGGAAAAACTGGAGCCGACAAAGCGCTGCAGCGAGTTCACCCCTCCTGTTACCCCCCGACCTCATCTCCTGCAGCTCTCCCTTCCTCAGCTTCGGTCTCACTGTCTTTGCGGTTCTCACACAAATCCAGCACCATCTGGCCTTAGGGCCTTGCCACTTGAAGTGTTCATTCCCATATGGTACATGACGCATTTTCCCAGCCCAGTCCTTACTGAAATGGCACTCTCTCAGTAAGGACGTTCTTGGTCAGTATCGAGGACTGTACTGTTTCTTCACTCTCCGACCCTTCCCAGCTTTATTCTTCTTTGCATTTTCCACTACTCAACATACCATGTATTTTACTTATTTGTGTTAACTTACTGTCCACTTTCTCCTGCCACTGTTAACTCCGTGAGGTCAAGGGTCTTTATTCATTCTGGTACCTCACAGAGTTAATATTGGGAGGAGAAAGTAGAGGGTCTTTGTTCTTTCCCAGCACCTTGATGAGTCTCATGTTGCTTGAGTTTTCATGTTGAGATCTTGATAATTAATATTTACTTGAGCCCTTAATATGTGCTAGTCACTGTTCTAAGTGTGTTGTATGTTTTTATAAAAACAAGTATTATTGTGATCTCTATTTTGTAGATAATGAAATTAAGATCTTAGCTTTAGTAATGGAACCACGTGGTCAGCTAGTGGTAGAGTTGGGATTGAGATTCTGGCAGTATAGTTCGAAGGACTCAACTCTGTACTATAGCAGAGCATGTGTTACTATAGTATAGCCCGCGAGAGCACAGTAACCTTACTACAGTATAGCGTAGCTTTACTAGAGGAAGCTTCCGGTGGTGGTAGAGAGATCATCTAGGGTAAGTTCTGAAAAGAGGCAATTAGGTCAGTTAACTGGTTGGGAAAAGAGCCAGATCACAAGGGAGAAATCTACAAAAGGTGTTTTATAGGTACTAGAAGTTTA